CACTAAAATGTAATTTAGTGTCCTATGCCCATTTTGTAAGGTCCAGATAATTCCCAAATCTGTATAGAAGACGATCACTGATAAACTCATATTGTGCATTTATGCATGTAAACTGTACATTACCTTTACATTTTAGTGTACAAGTGAATGGATGTTATAGTGAAACCCCATGGTCTTTAAGGGGTTAATATATTACAATCTGGAAGAAATACATGGACAGTTTATTCTGCCTGAAACAAAGGACCATTTTGTAGGATACACAAATCCTGCTTTTTAGTAATCCTAGTGGTGCTAGCTTCAAGCAGAAATGTGAGTCCATATTTTTTTTGGTGGAAATGGTACACATTGGACATGGAAGTGCCCTGCAACTGTGAACATCCTGGGCAAACTGTTGTTCCAAAATAAATACCATCAAAATACTAAGGTTGTTAAATCACCAATAAATTGGGTGTAGGCCACCTGGCACATAGGAATTCAGAGTAAAGATTTTCCAACTTTAGGACTGTAGAATATGAACAAATTTTAATAAGGTCAAGATATAAGTTTCTTGTTGAGTTCATCTGTTATTTTTTTAACTGTCATGCTATTTAACCCATTGCCGCTGGGGATGGCATGTACGTACATGCCATGCCCACTGTGAGTCGACTTGTTTGATTGTTTATACACGTAGATGGCTACACTTGTACTAAGTATCCAATGAGCCAATTACGAGTACTGCCTGTTTCGCTCATTCACCCTTTTCATCGATTTACGAAAATATTTAACGTTATCCTAATATGCTGTTAAAAATAACACCATCTATATTTATAGCACTAGTAAAAATACTTTTTTTCCCGCCAATTCAAGGAAAGCTGAAATCAGCAGAGCCATCTATGGACAGAGATATTTCACAAAAATATAAAAAATAAGTACTGCATTTCCCTCATTTTTTGTTCATTTTCCCCGGCGGCAATGGGTTAAGGATGGTACTCCATAATTGTCCTCTGGCTTTCACTTTGTCCACTATGATGTAAATAATTTCTGAAGTGAGCTCTGTGTCTAAAGTGTGTCAGAGTGGGTTCATATTTACTTTCCTTGACTGGATAGTTTTTAAAATTTTAATGAGGTATCATTGTTAATTGTAATATATATTGATTATCTCTACAGTATAATTATACTTAAGATGATATAATGATCACTGTTTAGACAATCATGTAATAAGCTTCCTAGGAAATATACAACAGTCTTTGTTCTGGCATCATCTTTCTCTCTCTAGCTGGAACAAAAGACCATCACAACGGTTCTCAGTACCAATCTAGGCAGGGATTTTCATCTCGGTGTCCTTTACAGATAGGAAAGTATCCTACTCTGCTAAGGGATCCCTGGACAGAATAGACTAAGTGACACCCCATAAAGCGAAGGTCACACTAGTCTATTCTGTCCTAGGATCCCCAGATAGGATTGCTGAAGTCTGGTCAGCTACAGAGAGGGATTGCTCACACTACATTCAGTGTTCCTTTGGAGAGAACTATTGTCTCAGTTCAGCATTCATAACAGTAAATGGCGCTTTCCATCGAGGACGCATTTATGGGCTACATCACGAGAGTTCATTGCTTAATTCATTCATTAATGTTGTATTCAAGTTCCTGCTTTTATTATCTTATGACTGGTGTTCCACGAGTAAATAACTTCCGAAGTGAGCTGCATGTCTTTGGTGTGTTGGAGTGGGTTGATGTTGATGTTCGTTAGTCAGATAAACGTTTACCCGAATTATCTATAAACATTAAATGTTCTGTCTCCTTGAGAATTTTCCAAGACATGTTAGAATGCAATGTATCTTTGTATTTTATAATTCAATTTGTTTTTATCATGATACATAATCATTTTTAAAGATTCTAAGTAATGAGTTTACCAGTAATTGTATCATATTTTTTGTTTCGGCAATATTTTTCAGCTCTAGGCAGGGATGAAATACCGACATAGCTCTATCATGCTGCGGAGGGATTTTCGTCTCGGATCTGTTTATAGCTAGAGACGCATCCAGCTCTGAAAAAAGATCTCTGGACAGAATAGATTAATGTCACCGGCCCTTAATGCAACGGTTACACTAGTCTTGTCTGTCTAGGAATCCCTGCACAGCCACACTAAGTCTGTCAGGTACAGGGCAGGATTCATCAAAGATGCAGTGTCCCCCATAGAGAAACATTGTCCCCTAAAAGGCCAAAATGTGTTCAATAACCTGTATGAATTATGCATCGAAGATAGTCATGGATTTTAAGAAAGAAAACTAAAGCAAATCGAAATTGAAAATCTGATAGTAGTCTTTCCAGTAGCATATGCTGTCATTAGTGTAATCATTAGTGCACAAGAGACATAATTAATGACTGATGAAAACAAAGTTGAGAGTAAGCAAATACTATAGTTAAAATTCAGTAAGATATTAATTATCAATTGTGACACACCCTTGCAGGTCATATAATTAAACCCCTTTCAGTTTATTTTTATTTCATCCATTACTGTTGTTTTTAACTTCCTGTTATCATGTTATTAGTTGATGATATTCCGTAATATTCTTTCCAGTAGCATATGCTGCCATTAGTGTAATCATTAATGCACGAGAGATGTAATTAAGGACTGGTGAAAACAATGTTGAGAGTAAGCAAATACTATAGCTGAAAATAATCATCTATTGTGACACACCATTGCCTTTCGTATAATCATACCCCTTCCAGTTTCTTTTTTATTTCATCCATTATTGTTGTTTTTAACTTCCTGCTACCATGTTACTTGTGGATGGTATTCCATAATTGTTCTCTGGCTCTCACTTTGTCCACTAGGGCATAATAATGCCTGAAGTGAGCTCTTTCTTCACTGTGTCTGAGTGGGTGCATGTTTGCATTCCTTCATCAAATAAACATTATCTTTCCCTTTAGCAGGGACAAAAGCTTAGTCCATAGGCAGAGATTTCTATATCGGTTCCCTTTACAGTTGGGGAAAGGGATCACTGGACAGAAAAAACAAGTGTGACTGCCCGTTAAAGGGATCCCCAGACAGACAAGAATAATATGATTGCTCACTCACAGAGTGGGATACTTCCCTAGTTGTGAAGGGAATGAAAAATGAAATTGTAAAAAAAGTACTACTAAGCTTATTATTTGGTCAGCTAAACAGGGATTATTATATCATATTAAGTAAATAATATATTTATTGTAACTAATGATGGTAGACAAAATGAGAGCCAGAAAACAATACCATCCTCAAATACCAAGATAGCTGAAAGTTAAAAATGATAATGAATAAAATCAATAAGAAATTTTGCTTTGCATGGGATATTAATATACGGCTGGCAAGGCTGTCTTACAATCGACAATTAATTATATTATCCAGTTACGTTTTTTATGATTGGATATTTTACTTTTTAAAATATCAGGCAGCTAGTACAATGCTATGATGTGTGATAATGAATTAAATGGTGGAATGGCTTTTCTAAGTTTAGTTTTTTCTTGAAATTGTCAACTGATATGCACAACAATGTTCAATGTTTCTTTACAGGGGGATAATGTGATCAATCCCAACCTGTACCTGACAGATACTTGGTGTGGCTGTTCAGGCATCCCCGAACATTGAAAACTAGTGTAGCCATTGCTTAACAAATGTAGAGCCACAAGGATCAGTCCAGTTATGTTTGTTAATTTATCATATACCCTAAAAGAAATATTATGCTTTTCAAATAGAGTTGTACTTAAAATATGGAAATTGATACCAACCAATCCCTTGAAATCACATTTTTTTCTAGCAAGAATTGACTGCTGTACCAGCATAAACTTAGAAAAATGATACTAAAATAGATCATGAATAGAAAAAAAAATCTCAAAAAAACATAGATGGGCACTTAAACCCAAAGGATCACATAAATGATAAAGAGGACTTGAGCTATATAAAGCTTACAAACCCACTCTCCATCCCTTGCTTGTTGTTATGCGGGTGGTGGGCTTAGGAGACTGAGGGCCCAGCATGGGGATCACCCCTGCCTTGGGCCTCAACTAAGTTTGCACGTTTTTTTTCTCCTTTCCTTATTCTTCTCTCCTTTGATGTCTGACACATTTATTAATTTTGACCATTAACCATTCTGGAAAACCACAAACATTGCTTTATAAAAAAAAAAAATCTTACCCGAAGGCTTTGCATCCAAGACCTACACTATCACTATATTTTAAATACGCTGCTAATGACCTTAGATATTGATGCAACAGAAAAAAATATACATATAAATAAATAATAAAATTGGATGAAAAAGGAAAGTAGGATGAGATGATTATACTTTACTTAACTTTTATAATTTTAAGTTATCAATACATTTGTCTAGTATTAATCTCATTGCTATCAACATTCTCTGATGTTATCAGAAATATCTATATATATATTTAATATTAGGTCTGGAATAAAGTTCTAAGAGGACTTAATTACTGAAAAGATTGTATGCATATCAACAACATTGATGTTAATTATTAGTAATAAAGGAACATTAACCTGAAATATCTCTAATTCTTTTTGTATTATCCTACTAATGGATAAACTTTTAGATCACTCTTGGCTCTCTCTTCAGCAGTTAATACTCTTTTTTTTTTCTTCGACATCCACTGCACATGACTGTTCTTTTTATTATTTAATCCAAGTATTGTGCATGCCTTGATATTCTTTCCTTCTTAACATCCAGAAATTCTATTGGGCTAGAGACTCTATTAGAGCATTCAGTTTTTGTCTTAATGTTTAAAGTTCACTAAAGGAAGTAATACTGTCTGTGTCCATTTATTGTTATTAATATTTTCAGTTCATAAGATGTTGAGAAAGGACCTTTTAAAAAGATTTTATTTTACCAGGCTTACATATAAGTCAGGAAAGCTGAAACATGATTTTCAGTGAACTACTTAGACTTTATTATGTCATAGAAAATCCTATTAGAAAGTTAAAGTCATTCTGTTTTAGCACTTTCTGTTGTAATTCATTACCCATTATTTCAGATTGTGGATACCCAGAATGTCTTGGTTGTGGTCTCAAGATGGTTTGGGGGCATCCTTCTAGGGCCTGACAGATTCAAGCATATAAACAATGCTACAAGGCAGATACTTGAAAGCTGTGGATATATTAAGCATCAGGAAAGCACAAAAAAAAATAAAAAGACAAAGTAGCAAAATGTGTATGATTGCAACCTTTATATATTTTGTTAATCAGGGAGGCACTAGCCCTGTTTAACAAATATATATACTTTGCATACTTAAAGAAGATTAGGAAAAGAGAAATATGTGTTCGTCTATCAGAGTGTGTGTGTGTGTGTGTGTTTGCAAAGTGACTTGCCATAGAAAGTAGTTTTTGCATATAATAAAGAAATCAATGCATAAATTATGAGGCAATGATACCTCCTGTTAAGACTACTGAGAAGTGGTAGAATCCTCCAGAAAATATTTGATGTGCTAGAATCATACATCAAATCAGAAAATTACATGGCAATGTAAATATAACTAGGCAAGAACACACTAATACAGGCCAATTTACACGCAGAGGCATAACACTTAAACAAACAATTGCATATATACAGACATGCACTCATTGTGTACATATACAAGCCCACATGCTATGAATTCTCTAATGCTAATGTCTCGTCTATCTCTCAGGTATTTATACCATATACATCATTAACAGCACTGATGTTTTGTTAGTATATTTCGGTTTTTATCTTTTCATCACATTATGGCAAGGTGTGGCCTAGAATTTATGAAGATGAGCTGCTTTCTACATTTGATATAAGTGTTTGTTCCTGGAATACTGAATTATGCAAATATCTCTCACCTTAAGAAGTTTAAATTTAGAAAAGGAATAAAGAAATAATTTATAGGTAGAAAAAAACAGTATAAACGAGTTTTATTGAAAGTAAAATAATTTTGAAATCCTCAAGAATTTCTTATAATGCCTGACTTTAAAATATGTTTATACTGTCTAGGAATAGTAAATCAAATATTAATGGCAATTTTATTCTGTTTATTGATTTTCCTTTGGTTGGCAATATTGTCAGCTATCAGAATTTTATTGCTGATTTTTGAAAGAAACGTTTGTGACAGGTTAATTTATCAGGTGCACATGAAGGTAATGTGAGGATTTTAACAATGCATGCGGTTTTGAGACTAAAACATTATAGGATGGTATCCGAGAGCTTTTGAGAAAGTTAAATTTATTCTTATCTTAGACTTCATACTATAATTCATTACCTGTTATTTCAGATTGTGGGTGCCCAGAATGTCTTAGTTGTAGTCACAAGGTGGTATGGGGGCATCCATCTGGGACCTGACAGGTTCAGGCACATAAACAACGCTGCAAGACAGATCCTAAAAAACTGCGGTTATATAAAGCACCAAGAGAGCTGTAAGAAAAATAAAAAAACAAAGTAGCATTATGTGTTTGATAGCAACCTTACTCTATTTCTAACTCTTGAATTATTCATCCCCATTGATACCTTTTCTAAATTTATATTTTTGATTATTCTTTATTGCTAGTAAATCTTCGAATGCAGAGACCATGTTGACTCCCTATGCAAAGACAATCCAGGATCATAACTAATAGTCTCATAATATTAGTATTATTTTTTAGGAAATCTTGGTCACTATTAGTGGCATCGGATAAGTCCTCTACTTCTTTGTGCTAGGTTTTGACAGAAATCTTGATCCAGAATCCTCAAT